CCTACACGACGGCTTCAACCTGTACCGTCAGCTCGGCGGCACCGTATTCATGCTGCAGAAACAGCAGCGGCAAGACAACAGCCCATCTGGCCAGCAGCTTACCCGCTTCGCAACCATGTTCGGCGGCATTCCAACCACTGAAGCACGTGTCGCAGATCTAGTAGACGCACTCAACCAACGCGTCATCACAGATTTGTCCGATCTCACAGACCTCGAACCCCGCGTCGTGCTGCAACGGAACGAACCCAGGCACGCGCTCAACACACGCCTCCTGATGCTCCAGGCGCGCCGCAAAGGAGCGCGTTTGGTCAGCTGGAATGCGGACCACGTCCCGGTTAGGCAACATGGCGCAACCCAACAACAGGCGCTCTCACACGTCGAAAAGGCTGTCGCAATGCGAGTAAAAGACGCCACCTTCGACCACACCACCGCCGACACTTGGTACTACGAGGGTGCACGCTACACCCTACTCGACACCACAGCTGCCGACGCCGGCGCGTGCCACAACAATGAAGTCGAGGCGTGTGGCCTGCTTACCAACAGCCGTGAACCGCCCGACGACGGCCGCGGCCCGTACTGGCGCCTCCACTACCTACCCGCAGCCGTCTTGGTCCGTCCCATTAAAGGGCACGCGCCCAAAGCGGTGCTAGCAGACTTATCGGACTTCGCAGCCAAAGGTGCTGCCTTCGCCATCGTACCATGGCCCTCACCGGCAGCAAACATCACTGTGCCAGCCGCCAACACCGGCACCACCACCAAAAATGTACGTCGAGTCAATGTACCGCTTGGTGACTACTACGCCGTCACCGACTACTTCGTACAGGGCCGTAGCTTCAAGGAAGAATGCTGGGTCGCAGACCTTTCCGTCCCGCCCGGTGGCCTCAAGCGTGCAACCATGTACGTGTTGCTCACCCGCTACAAGACACTCGACCACATCCGCCTCCTGCGCCCGCTCTCTACCACACCCGATGAACGAACACGAGTCGTCAAACAGTTCATGGCAGCAACCAAGCTGGACCCCGACCTGGCGGCCGAACTCCGCCTCCTGGATCGCCGTGCAACCGAAACACGTGAACGCTATACGACCGAGTACAAACATGCCAGAAACCTAGAGGAGCGTTGGACCTCCGCAGCCAACACCACCTGACACGTAAAACAGTTCGTCTGCCTCGCCACTGGATGGCGTTAAATGCCAGCATTGCACGGCTCTCTAGCCGTCCGACGACACGCCCGCACGGCTGGGTGCATCCCTTGCACTTGTGGGTTCGACTCCCACACGGGTGTACTACAAGTATACGCACGCTCCGTCGTACTCGTGCCGCCCAGCCGGGGGACTACGGCCCCCTCGCGGGCGACCAAGCCCGCGTCTAGTCCGGTTGTCCGGAGCGTTTTGGAAATTCCGGGTCGGGAGCGTGCCGTACGCGCTTAAGACCGCGCCGAAAAGAACGGAAGGTCGCCGGTTCGATCCCGAGCAAATTTATGTTTTATGTTTCATATTTGCATATATGCATATGTGCGATATTATGTAATATTATGTAATATGCGATATGCAGCGATATGCGATATGCAGTGATATGTGATATGTATGCAACGATATGCTATGCGATATGCAGCGTTGTGCGATATGTATGTGTATGCAGCGATATGCCATATGATGTGTGAAACAGGGGGGTGTATCTTCGCCCGTGGCAGCTACCCTGCGAAACCCTGCCTTCCCCGGTATTTCGGGGCACCCTCATCCAGTCACCCTAGTCAACTTCTCAGTGGATCGCTCAGGTTCCGCACCCACCACCAGCATCCAACGGAATCTGCCGGGTCGACAGCGGCCCAACTCCGTTCCTGGTCGGCTCGCAGGTTAACTTTATCCCAGGTCACCACCGTCCATCAACTAGGGGCGCAATGCCTTCCACCATCGGAAGGACTTTTGACCCTAACGGGTATCGATCCCGGGATCTCCCGGGGGCAATGGTCGCGCCTTACCAGTGGTGCCAAACCCTTATATAATATGTATGCCATATGTATGCAGCGATATGCGATATGTATGCAGCGATATGCGATATGCGATATGTATGCAGCGATATGCAATATGCAGCGATATGTGATATGCAGCGATATGCGATATGCAGCGATATGTGATATGCTGTGATATGCGATACGCGATATGCGATATGCGGTATGCAATATGCAATATGCAATATGCAAGGTGCAATATGTTTTAATGTTATATATATGCGATCTCATATGCAAGCTTATGAGACCTGCAAGCATATGCGATCTGCAAGCATATGCGATTCTCATATGCAAGCATTTGCGATCTACAAGCATATGCGATCTGCAAGCATATGCGATCTGCAAGCATATGCCATATGCAATCTGCAAGCATATGCTATGCTATGCTATGCTATGCTATGCTATGCTATGCTATGCTATGCTATGCTATGCTATGCTATGCTATGCTATGCTATGCTATGCTATGCTATGCTATGCTATGCTATGCTATGCTATGCTATGCTATGCTATGCTATGCTATGCTATGCTATGCTATGCTATGCTATGCTATGCTATGCTATGCTGTGCTATGCTATGCTATGCTATGCTATGCTATCTGCAAGCATATGCAGTATGCCTATGCGATATGCGATATGCGATATGCGATATGCGATATGCGATATGCGATATGCAATATGCAATATGCAATATGCGATATGCGATATGCAATATGCGATATGCGATATCCGATATGCGATGCATTCTGCAAGCATATGCCATATGCGATCTGCAAGCATATGCGACCTGCAAACATATGTGATCTGCAAGCATATGCTATCTGCAAGCATATGTGATCTGCAAGCGTATGCCATATGCGATCTGCAAGCATATGTGATCTGCAAGCATATGCCATATGCGATCTGCAAGCATATGCGATCTGCAAGCATATGCCATATACGATCTGCAAGCATATGCCATATGCGATCTGCAAGCATATTCGATCTGCAAGCATATGCCATATGCGATCTGTAAGCATATGCGATCTGCAAGCATACGCCATATGCGATCTGCAAGCATATGCAATCTGCAAGCAGATGCCATATGCATCTGCAAGCATATGCCATATGCATCTGCAAGCGTATGCCATATGCATCTGCAAGCATATGCCATATGCGATCTGCAAGCATATGCGATCTGAAGCATATGCCATATGCGATCTGCAAGCATATGCCATATGCGATCTGCAAGTATATGTGATCTGCAAGCATATGCGGTCTGCAAGCATATGCGATCTGCAAGCATATGCCATATGCGATCTGCAAGCATATGCGATCTGCAAGCATATGCCATATGCTTGCATATGCGATCTGCAAGCATATGCCATATGCGATCTGCAAGCATATGCCATATGCGATCTGCAAGCATATGCCATATGCGATCTGCAAGTATATGCCATATGCGATCTGCAAGCATATGCCATATGCGATCTGCAAGCATATGCCATTATGCGATCTGCAAGCATATGCAATCTGCAAGCATATGCCATATGTTTGCATATGCAATCAAGCATATGCCATATGCGATCTGCAAGCATATGCCATATGCCATCTGCAAGCATATGCCATATGCGATCTGCAAGCATATGCCATATGCGATCTGCAAGCATATGCCATATGCGATCTGCAAGCATATGCAATCTCCAAGCATATGCAATGTGCAAGCATATGCGATCTGCAAGCATATGCGAATCTGCAAGCATATGCGAGATCTGCAAACATATGTGATCTGCAAGCATATGCTATCTGCAAGCATATGTGATCTGCAAGCATATGCTATCTGCAAGCATATGTGATCTGCAAGCATATGCCATGTGTGAACTGCAAGCATATGCCATGTGTGATCTGCAAGCATATGCGATCTGCAAGCATATGCCATATGCGATCTGCAAGCATATGCCATATGCGATCTGCAAGCATATGCCATATGCGATCTGCAAGCATATGCCATATGCGATCTGCAAGCGTATGCCATATGCGACCTGCAAGCATAGGCCATATGCGATCTGCAAGCATATGCGATCTGCAAGCAACTGCGATCTGCAAGCATATGCGACCTGCAAGCATATGCGACCTGCAAGCATATGCCATATGCGATCTGCAAGCATATGCCATATGCGATCTGCAAGCCTATGCCGTCTGCAAGCATATGCGATCTGCAAGCATATGCCGTATGCGATCTGCAAGCATATGCTGTCTGCAAACATATGCGATCTGCAAGCATATGCTGTCTGCAAACATATGCGATCTGCAAGCATATGCTGTCTGCAAGCATATGCGTTCTGCAAGCGTATGCGATCTGCAAGCATATGTGATCTGCAAGCATATGCGATCTGCAAGCATATGCCATGTGCGATCTGCAAGCATATGCCATATGCGATCTGCAAGTATATGTGATCTGCAAGTATATGTGATCTGCAAGCATATGCGGTCTGCAAGCATATGCGGTCTGCAAGCATATGCGATCTGCAAGCATATGCGATCTACAAGCATATGTGATCTGCAAGCATATGCGATCTGCAAGCATATGCCATATGCGATCTGCAAGCATATGCCATATGCGATCTGCAAGCACATGCCATATACGATCTGCAAGCCTATGCTGTCTCCAAGCATATGCGATCTGCAAGCATATGCCGTATGCGATCTGCAAGCATATGCCATATGCGATCTGCAAGCATATGCTGTCTGCAAGCATATGCAATCTGCAAGCATATGCTGTCTGCAAGCATATGCGATCTGCAAGCATATGCGATCTGCAAGCATATGTGATCTGCAAGCATATGCGATCTGCAAGCATATGCCATATGCGATCTGCAAGCATATGCCATATGCGATCTGCAAGCATTTGTGATCTGCAAGCATATGCGGTCTGCAAGCATATGTGATCTGCAAGCATATGCAGTCTGCAAGCATATGCAGTCTGCAAGCATATGCGATCTGCAAGCATATGCAGTCTGCAAGCATATTCAGTCTGCAAGCATATGCGATCTACAAGCATGTGCCATTTGCAAGCATATGCGATTTGCAAGCATATGCAATCTGCAAGCAAATGCGTTCTGCAAGCATATGCGATTTGCAAAGAGATGCAGTCTGCAAGCATTTACGATCTGCGCCATATATGCAATATGCAAGCATATGCGATCTGCGCCATATATGCAATATGCAAGCATATGCGATCTGCAAGCATATGCAATCTGCATGCATATGCGATCTGCAAGCATATGCAATATGCAAACATTTGGAATATGCAAGCATGCGCAATATGCAAGCATTTGGAATATGCAATCATGCACAATATGCAAGGATATTGCATATGCAAGCATAGGCAATATGCAATATGTGAGGATATTGCATATGCAAGCATTTGCAATACGCAAGCATTTGCAATCCGGATGCACCCGAACGTCCGGATGCACCCGAACGTGTCCGGACCCGGACGAGAGCTACGGCACCCCCGGGACCGCAGGGACCGCGCCTCGTGCCGAGTTCGATGTCCGGTTGTCCGTCCGGAGCGTTTTGGAAATTCCGGGTCGGGAGCGTGCCGTACGCGCTTAAGACAGCGCCGAAATGAACGGAAGGTCGCCGGTTCGAACCCGAGCAAAATTATGTTTTATGTTTAATTTATGTAATATGTAATATGTTTCATATATGTAATATGTAATATGTTTCGTATATGTAATATGTGCAGCGATATGCCATATGTATGCAGCGATATGCGATATGTATGCAGCGATATGCGATATGTGTGTATGCAGCGGTATGCGATATGTATGCAGCGATATGCAATATGCAGCGATATGCCATATGTATGCAGCGATATGCGATATGTATGCAGCGATATGCGATATGCTGCGATATGCTGTGATATGCGATATGCGATATGCGATATGCAATATGCAATATGCAAGGTGCAATATGTTTTAATGTTATATATATGCGATCTCATATGCAAGCTTATGAGACCTGCAAGCATATGCGATCTGCAAGCATATGCAACCTGCAAGCATATGCCATATGCGATCTGCAAGCATATGCCATATGCGATCTGCAAGCATATGCCATATGCGATCTGCAAGCATATGCGATCTGCAAGCATATG